AAAGAAAAAAGAGATAAATAGGTAAAAAAAATAGAATGAAAGTAGAAGTTGTTTAATTGAAGAAAAATAAAATAAAAGTTAAATTTTTTGAGAAATTATTATATGGTGAATAAATTATTTTATTATTATTATTTTATGTTATTATTAATAATTATATTTATTTTTTAATTATTATTATTATTATTATTTATTACTAGTGAAAAAAATTATTTCGTATCTCTATTTACAAAATAAAAATAAAAGAGAATAATAGATGACAAACAATAGTAATTTTCATTGAAGACAAGCGATTTGATAAAGATACATGAATAAAATAAAATAAATATGTATACCAAAAACATATAAATTTTCATATATAATATAGGTTGTTATTTCATTCTTCCGATGAGGAAGGAGAGTGTTACGGATAAAGAAGGTTAATAAATTAAAGAGATTCAGATGAAAAATTAGAGAGAGATAATCAATTAAGAAGAACGACGCAAAAAGTTTTTACAAATCTGGGGAGAATAGATTAATGAATTTCAGCGTATGTTGCATACAAAGCTAGAAATTCTTCTCAAATCTATTCTCCCCAGCCCAAAAATTTTAAGCCATAAGTTCTATCCAATTCTATAGGTTCTTCCCAATTCTACAGGTTTTACCCAATTTTTCTGCACCTTCATACAATTTTCATTCTACCAAACATTCTAAATCAATAAATTTCCCCTTGTTTTATTTTTCCCTACCTGAATCTTCCACCATGGCAAAGAGAGGGTTAGAGTATATGGAATGGAAATTGGGGTGGCTTATTGAATTGAAGTCAAGACTGTAAGAGGGTAAAAACAAAAAGGGGTCATTTTTATTGGTAAATGTGACCATAGCCAAATATAATAATGTTATTGGTGGCAGTGCTTTGAAGCGGTAGTGTGTAACGTACTTATGTTATATAAGCGTGTGTGTGGCGCTGATGAAGAAAGAACACAACAACAATAATAGTGACTTAGAAAAGTAACAGCAACGAAGGCAACAGAAGCTGGTCATTGCTGAATTTTGCTGTGCCCTTTGTCTCCTCTCTTTTCTCTCACATCTGCCTCACTTGTGGCCTCATCAGAGACACAAACAAACACAAAAGCTTCAGAGGGTAACAAGCACCATAAGCTTTGACACACACATCACAAAGAGAGAAGAGAAAATGGGAGGAGGAGGAGGAGGAGGAGGAGGGAGAAGAAGAGGGACTTCAAAGCTTAAAGAAGCTGCAAGGAAGGTGGCTTTCGTAGCAGCATTTGCATGTGGCTCATTTTCAAAGAGAAAGGCTTTGGTGGATCCAGTCTCCATTGACACCTCTTGTAGTCTATCAGCCACTGTACACTTCCACTTTCCCTTTTCTTCTCACTATGCCTTTCTTTCTTAGTTGGGTGTTTAGCATTTTGGAGAAAGACGCAAACTTTATCTGCATTTTAGAATGGGCTGAAATTTTGCCAAACTGGTTTTTTTTCCCCATCTCTCAAAATTGGTGTCCAATAGAATGACCCTCATGAGTGTGTGAAATTTTGGATTTGAGAATGTTGCTTCCTATTTGCTTGTGGTTTTCCATTCCCATTTGTTTTTCTCTAATAATACTTTTGGTGATTGTGGTTAGGGTGTGTGTGACTTGGATTAGCTATGAATTTGTTGTGGTTATTGATGTCATTATTGTTTTGTGCTTGTTTGCAGGCATCAAATTCCTCTTGTGTGTCTCCATCAAGAACAAAAAATTCCTCAGGGGAGGTAATTGAAGAAGCATATTCTGGTATCACTACCAGCATCAACAATGAGCTACATGGCAAGGTAATCCACTTTTAGTTCCTTGAACCACCACAAGGCTTTTGTTGTCTTGGTTGGCTGATTAATAATTATTGACATTCTTGATTCTGCAGAGGTAACTTGGTGATGTATTACTATTTTTTAATTTTTAATGAATTCATAGATTTAGGATTAAAGTACTTCAACTTCTAGCTACTTCTCATTCCTTACTAGAAGTTTAGTACTTAATTCTTTCTCGGGATTTCTATCTATGCATTCTATTATTACTAACTAACACTTGGGAATCCAATGGGCCTAAAAGTTTGACCTTATGGAACTTTTTTTTATTTTTCTGCTTTTTTAAATTGATGCTTAATTTTTCTTTTGAACTACCCTTTTGCTTTATTATTTTTCTCGTCCTGTGATTTGGCCGAATAGGTTGAAAGCATTTATTTTGGTACTGAAATATAGTTAGAATAACAAAGTTAGTGATTATAGGATACAAGCATGTGAACAGCTCTGCACATGGCGCATCAGTGAAGCCAAGAATCAATTCAATAAATGCAGACCCCACGTTGGGAAGTTTCACCTGTCACAACATGCATGATCATACTTTTCCTTCTAGTGTCGTGTAACATCTCTGGACAATTATATATGGCTATACACATGTCTTTTATCCAATAGCTTCCTAATGAAGGGAGTGAACTTTTGTGATGCACACAATCCATTTGTCACTTGAGTGTGGAATCTCGTTTTTTATTTTATGACCAAAAGTTTCACCATGTCTGTCTCTACTTTAATCAATTAGTAAAAAGTGAGATAAGTTTGATTAAATCATGTGTTGTTTGTATGAATGTTGGCATAAACACCACTGCTGTGACTGTGATAACATTCGACAAATATTTGTATTGCTGTTCCATCTTCATCTGGGTTTAGCCCAACTTTGTTTGTCTGTGTGCCATTTTCTTTTCATTGAAAAATGCCTCTTCTTATAAAGTATTAATTGGTCACTACTACTGGTTTTTGGTTCCAATATATTGCTATGTTTAAAAACAAAAGTGTGTGTGTGTGATATCACTTTGAGAACTATGCGACTTATTCTTTTCCAGTCTTGGTACTGTTCACTGCTATTTAAGTACATACATTTAAGTCATGTTTTAATAAAATTTTCCATAAGAACTTTTAGAAGAGGAAAATAGGATTATAAAATGAAATAAGTTTTTCAATAAGTTAAAAATTAGCTAATTTATAAGTTAATTTGTAGAAATTATTTCCTATTGTTTTTCAGACACTTATTTTAACTTCTGCACAAGTTAGTTTAAGCTTTTGTTAAAACTTATTTCATTTTTCCTTTCTAATTTTTTCTTCTAAAAGTGGTTATAGAGAAGATTATCCTAACAAACTCCTATACAACTAAAAGCTCCTTACAAACAACAAAACTAAGCATGGTTAATTTTGTGGCAATAAAACATTCTTTTTATTTATTCATTTATTCCACAATCAAATCTCAGTGTGTCTGGCTACTTGGTGTACATCTTTCTTGGTCATCATTATGAATTTATACTTGTATTTCTTCATACAATTCATGAATGTATACTTGTTCCTTCATAGACTGTTCATTTGACTCACCGGCTTTTACTTGTTTGCAGAATTTGTGTGCAATATGTTTAGATCCTCTGAGTTACCACAGCAAGGGAAGCAGTCCAGGCCAAGCTATATTCACTGCTCAGTGTTCTCATGCATTCCACTTTGCCTGCATCTCTTCCAATGTCCGCCATGGTAGTGTCACTTGCCCCATTTGCCGCGCCCACTGGACCCAGCTCCCTCGCAACCTAAGCAGCAACCATAGCGGCTCTTTCACTTCTAGTAACCAAAGTGATCCCATTCTGCGAATCCTTGATGATTCTATTGCCACCTTCCGTGTTCATCGCCGTTCTCTCCTGCGCTCTGCACGCTACGATGATGATGACCCTGTTGAACCTGATGACACACCAGACAGTCCCAAGCTGTGTTTCTCTCTGATGCCTATTCCACCAAATGCACAGGCTAGTTACCATCCAGCTTTGCAAGTGACTAAACATGCCTCGTGTCCATGCCATCTATCCCTCCATCCCTTAACTTGCAGCTCCTCATCATTGCTACAATCTCCACCAATGCAAACACCATATATCATGTGCCCTTCCTCCAATAGAGCTTATCTTTCTGTGAAACTCACCCACGAACGAGCCACTGACTTGGTCTTGGTCGCTAGTCCAAATGGACCACACCTGAGACTTCTCAAACAAGCAATGACTCTTGTGGTTTTCTCACTCAAACAAACCGATCGGTTAGCCATTGTTACATACTCCTCAGCTGCGGCTCGCATCTTCCCCTTAAAACGCATGACATCATATGGAAAGCGCACCGCCCTTCAAGTCATTGACCGGTTGTTCTACATGGGGCAAGCCGATCCAGTTGAAGGGTTGAAGAAAGGCATCAAGATACTTGAAGACCGGGTGCACCAGAACCCGGAATGCTGCATCCTGCACTTATCAGATAATCCTACAAGACCATACCATGCCGTGAGCATGGAGCTTCCATCCACACCAATTCATAGATTTCATGTGGGGTTTGGCTTTGGTACTTCTAGTGGGTTTGTGATACAAGAGTTTGAGGAGTTCTTGGCCAAGATGTTAGGTGGCATTGTGCGCGAAATCCAGCTGAGAATATGTGGAGCTGGAGAGGAAGTTGGCAGTGGGAGAGTCATAAGAATAGGAGAGGTAAGAGGTGGAGAAGAAAGAAGGATTCTACTAGACCTTGGTGACTGCACTCATGTGTATGTGGAATATAGCTACATTGAAGGTGAAATTGATGAGTGTGTTAGGAGGACAGGGGAAACTGTTGTAGGTGTTGGAGAACATAAAGGTGATGATGTTTCAGAAGGTGAGGAAACAGTGAGGGATATGAACACAGGTGGTGGTGGTAGGAGTAGCAGTGTTGAAAACTGGGATTTTCATGACCCTTACATGGCCAGAAGATGGGCCAAGCATTTGCATGGTTATAGACTTTGAAATTGCAGCTATTGTTTTATATAGACAAATGCATTGCTGTGAGGCTATTTTGTTCTAGGCCTTCCTTACTGTCTTCAATTTTTGGCTACATCTGTAATGGTATAGAACTTGAAAAGACACAAGATTATTCCTTCACACACTACCAAAAAGAAAAATTGAAAGAGTATGATGCATATTTACACATCAGACAACTTCCTACAGTGATAATTTTTGGATTGAAATCCCAATATTGCAATCATAGTTTACTTTTTTTTTAAATACAAAACCTAAGCCTCACTTGCTCATTTAATGTAGGTTTTATAAGCATATTTACAAACCTGCATAAGATTTTGCACATATGCTAAGCTTACTTGTTTGTTTCTCAAATACAATGGAAACTTTCAATTCAATACGAAATTCTGGGATAATTTTATTAAGTAAAAAATTATTGAATAATGTAAAATTGACATTGACTAACCAACAGTATAAATCCATGTCTATGATATATATAATTTAAGTTTAAATATATTTTTTCCTCATTATATACCTTTTTTATTTTTCTCAATTATTTATAGTATTTTTTTTTCTTTTGTATTGGTTGTTGTAGTTTTTTTTAAATATTTTGATCCTCGTTATTTTTGTTTCAGTTATTGTATTTAGTTTTAGTCATTATAGTATTTTGTTCATTTTGAGTTGTCCCTTTGATAAAAAGAATGGTAGGGATTAAAAGTAAATTATTTACTTATTACAAAGATGAACTAAAAATATATTTTAAAATGACAAATTAAATATTTAGATCAAAATAATAAAAATGAATTTTACAATGATCACTTAAAAATATATGATGACCAAAATTAAAAAAAAAAAAGTATATTATAAAGATTAAAAGTATATTTAAGTTTATAATTTAAATATATAACTAAGTGAAATGTGGGTAGTATGCACAATTAGATTCCTCAAATCTTATTGTTGATATAGATCTGATTATTTAAAGAATAAGTTTATTTAGATTTACTCTGTTGAATAACTCATGTTTTATAATAAATTTTAACAATCTAATCGTTGAATTTAAAGTTCTTAATGTATAAATCAAATTTACAAATTTTTAAAAAATTTAAAAATCATTCAATACTTCGTTTTATTAATTTTAATTGACGGTAATAATAAAAAAAAATTTAAATCAGTTTATACGTTGATTTAAATTAATAAAAAAATTATCAAATGATCTTCAAATTTTTTAAAATTTACAAATTTGATCTATACATTAAGAACTTTAAATTCAACGGTTAAATTGTTAAAATGTGATTTAGAATATGAGTTATTAAACAAAGTAAATTTATCTAAACTTATTCTTATAATAAATGGATCCTTCCTCTCTCTCTCTCTCTCTATCTATCTC